GGTATTATTTCGATCTTCTTAAATTTATTGAGACTTGTTTTGTGGCCTAATATGTGATCAATCCTGGAGAATGTTCCGTGGGCATGTGAAAAGAATGTATATTCTGTGGTTTTTGGATGGAATGTTCTGTATATATCTACTAAGTCCATCTGGTCTAATGTGTCCTTTAAGGTGAGCGTTTCCTTATTGATCATCTGTTTGGATGATCTATCCATTGGTGTAAGTGGAGAGTTAAAGTCCCCTACTATTATTGTGTTACTGTATATTTCTCCTCTTATGTCTGTTAATAATTGCTTTATATATTTAGGTGCTCCTGTGTTGGGTGTGTAGATATTTACAAGTGTTATATTTTCTTGTTGGATTGTTCCCTTTATCATTATGTAGTGCCCATCTTTGTCTCTTATTACAGCTTTTGATTTAAAGTCTATTTTGTCTGATATAAGTATTGCTACCCCTGCTTTCTTTTCTTTGCCATTTGCGTGGAAATATCTTTGTCCATCCTTTCACTTTCAGTTTGTGAGCGTCTGTAGGTCTGAAGTGTGTCTCCTGTATGCAGCATATACATGGATCTTGTTTATTTATCCAGTTGGCCACCCTATGGCATTTGGTTGGAGCATTTAATCCATTGACATTTAAAGTAACTATTGATAAATATGTATTTATTGCCATTTTGTCACTTTTTCTTTTTTTTGGGGTGTTTTAGTAGTTCTTCTCAGTTCCTTTCTTTTTCTCTTGCTCTCTTCCCTTGTGGTTTGATGGCTATCTTTAGTAATATGTTTGATTTCTTCTGTCTTACTTTTTTCCTGCTTGTTATAGGTTTCTGGTTTGTGGTTACCATGAGGATCCTATTTAATATACTATGCATATAACAGGCTATATTGAGTAGATAGACTCTTTAGCTTGACCTCTTTCTAAAAGCTCTACTTTTTCACTTTCCTCCTCCCACATTATATGTTTTTCACATCATATATAGTCTTTTGTTTAGTGTGTGTATATCCATTACCCTCTTATCATTGAAATAGGTAATTTTAGTACATTTGTCTTTTAACCTTCATATTACCTTCACAGGTAGTTGATCTGCTGGCTTTACTATGCTTTTACCTTACAAGAGATTTTATTGCTTGTTTTTTCTTCTTGTTGTTTTGGGTTTTTTTGATAATTTTTTTTCTTTTATCTCTATTTGTGGTCATTACTTTCCCACTTAAATAAGTACCTTCAGCATTTCTTGTAGAACTGGTTTCTTGGTGATAAACTCCTTTAATCTTTGCTTGTCTGGGAAGCTCTTTATCTCTCCTTCCATTCTGAATGACAGCCTTGATGGATAGAGTATTCTTGGCTGTAGGTTTTTTCCTTTTAGCATTTCAAATATGTCGTGCCATTCTCTTCTTGCCTGTGGGGTCTTGGCTGAGAAGTCTGCTGACAGCCTGATGGGCTTCCCTTTATATGTCACTTGTAGCCTTTCTCTTGCTGCTTTTAGGATTCTCTCTTTGTCTTTAATTTTAGACATTTTGATTATAATATGTCTTGGTGTGGGCCTCTTTGGGCTTCTCTTGTTTGGAGCTCTCTGTGCTTCCTGAACTTGGATGTCTGTTTCCTTCCTCAGGTGAGGAAAATTTTCCTCTATTATTTTGACAAATAAATTTTCTGCCCCTTTGTCTCTTTCTTCTCCTTCTGGGACCCCTATAATCTGAATGTTAGCACGCTTGATATTGTTCCAGAGTTCCCTTACACTGTTCTCATTCTGTCTAATTCTTTTTTCTCTTTTCTGTTCTGCTTGGGTGATTTCCTCTAATCTTTCGTCTAGCTCGCTGATCCGTTCTTCTGCTTCCTCTACTCTGCTGTTGAGTTCTCTAGTGAATTTCTCATTTCAAGTGTTGTATTCTTCATTTCTGATTGGTTCTTTTTTATATCTTCCAATTCTTTGCTGATGTGCTCACTGTGTTCATCCATTCTTCTCTGCATATCTGTGAGCATCCTCATCATATTTTGTTTGAATTCCTTGTCAAGGAGGTCGCTAGTTTCTGTTTCACTTAGTTCTTTTTCTGGTGTTTTGTAGTGTTCCCTTGCTTGGAAAGTATTCCTTTGCCTCCTCATTATGCCTCTTTCTCTGTGCTATTTTCTTTGTACTAGGTGAGTCGGCTATGTCTCCTGATCTTGGAGAAGTGGCCTTATGTATGAGATGCCTTATGAGGCCCAACAGTGTGCTTCCCTCTCGTCACCAGACCATAAGAACCAGGAGTGACCCCTTTGTAGGCTACTTGTGTTCTTCTGCTGTGGCAGGGTTGCTCCCACTGCAGGTACCCAGGGAGTCTGATCTTTCCTTCCCTGGCCAGCTGTTTGTAAATCCGGTTTGGAGGGGCCTCAGCACTGTTGGCTACAAAGTCTATTAGCACACTCTTATTGCAAGTGTCCTCTTAATTGGGTTGGTACCCAGTGTAGCTGGTTGCTAGGCTCAGGGGCATACAGTTGTCATAGGCCTGAGGCCAACAAGGCTGATGTCAGTTCTCCTGGGAGTGCAGCTGAGGAGGGCTAGCCCTTGGCATGGAGGCACTCAGTTGTTTCAGGCTTTGGAAGGTGGGGTTGATCCTTTTTATGGCTATTTGTGAAGCACAAGTCTTCTGCCTCTGATAAGCCTCATCCCCCTCTGGACCACATACACTGTCAACACAGTCCTGGTCTGTGCACACTTCTCAACCCCCTGGAGCGTACCCCACCGCCACACTGCAGAGGCCCCACCTCTGCCCCAATGCTCCCCACAGTTCACCTGGTCCTCACACAAGCCCTGCCTCACAGAGGCAGACACCCTTGCCTGCCTGTAGAGGATCAAGGCACCCAGTCAATGCAGGCTGAAAAGTAGCCTGAGGGCATGCTGTTAGGTGGGGCGGGACCTTAGGGCGGGTTGCCTGCCCTGGCTGAATTGTATTACATCTGTGCTCTAGTGGGCGTGGCAGACCCCTTGGCTAACAGGCCAAGGGATGAACCTCAATGGCCCCCACTGGGGTCCGTATCAGCACGCCAGGACCAGCTCAGAACAACGGCCCCCACCAATGTCTCAGTCTCCAGAGAGGTCCCTCCTCTTACCAAGATGCCCCCAGAGCCCACCAGGTGAGTCTTGTTTCACCAAAGGATTGTCAGCCTTCTCTCTGGTGATTGTAGGTTGCTGCAATGAGTGAGTTTGTGTGTGGGCCCTTTAAGACCTGGGTCTTTTTAGCTTTCAGCCAATAGCTTTTCTGGGGCTATCCTTGCTGCAGTTAATAGCCAGCAAAGCCAGACAGTAAGACCCCTGTCTCAGTTGGGCTGAATCTGAAGGATGCTTGTAGCAGTATCGGCCCCGCTCCGGACCTCACTCCTCCAAGGATGGCTGCGTACCTTAGGGTGTCTCCTGCATGGCCAGCTGAGAAGCTCTGCTGTTCCCAAAGGTGGCTTTTTTCCTCTCCAGCAGTAATTACTGCCTCTTCTGCCTTCATCAGGACTGTCCCTTGTTGTGAGGGTTCTTTTCATCCAGTTTTCGGTTTTCAATCTGGGATAATTCTTCCAAAAGTTGTTGTAACCTGGTTGTGTTCACGGGAGGAGGTGAATTCAACATCTGCTCACACCACCATCTTGATGAGATCTCTGTCCCAATACTTTTTATAGTCACTCATCCTTTCCTTGTGATTTATAATGTCACTTTGATTATATACCACGTTTTTGTGTATGTGTGATTCTATTTCCAAATTCTCTACTTCTTAGTTGATTTTTCTCTGTTCCACTATCATATTGCTTTAATTATTACATATTTATAGTAAATGTTGATATCTAGTAGGGGTATTGCTTCCTAATAAACATCTTAAACTTGTTTGGGGTATTTTTGTCTTTACTGTTTCATACAGGCTTTAGGATCATCCTGACAAGCTTTACAGCAAGGCCTGTGAGATTTTGCATGAAGTTTATAGGTTAATTTGGCAAGAGTTGTCGTTTTCATTTTATTGAATCTTCCCATTCAGAATATTGCATATATCTTCATTTATTTAGATCTTTTTATAAATCTTTCAATACAATTTTTTAATTTTCTCTTTAACAGTCTTACATATCTTTTGTTAGATGTTCTTAAGTCCTTTTTCATTTTGTTGTTATTAGAAATTGTGCTTTTTTATTCAAGATTTTTTCTATTGAAGTGTTGCTGAAATAAAAGAATGCAGTTTTTCTATATTAATCTTATATCTAGCAACGTTGCAGACTTATTGTTTCTAAAATTTTGTGTGTAATTTTGGCTATTGCACATAGACAGTAAAATTACTACAATGTGGTGTTGGCAACCAGGTAGAGAAATCGATAGAACAGAATAAAGAATCCAGAAGTTAACCCACTTATATGTGCACAACTGATTCTCAACAAAAGTGCAAAAGCAAGTCAGTAGGGAAAGGATAGTCTTTTCTACACGTGATTCTGAGAAAACTCATATCCATGTGCAAAACAACTACCCTTGAATCATACTTCGCACCATATATAAAATAACTCAAAATAGTTAATAGACCTAGGTGTAAAAACCCTGAACTATAAAATTACTATGGGAAAACATAGGTGAAAATCTTCTGACTGTTAGTTAGGCAAAGATTTCTTTGATATGATACCAAAAACACCATCCATGAAACGACAAACTGATAAATTGGATTTGATGAAGGGTACCAAATTTCACCAAATTGTGTACTTCAAATATACACACTTTGTTGTATGTCAGTTATGCTTCAATAAATCTGTTTAAGAAATAAAAGTGGAATGTGTCCCATTCTCTAAGAATCCCAGACGCACTGCATAACCTTGGAAGATTTTCTTTCATGACGAAGTGACCTTCTTGCTTAAGAAGTTCTTACTCATATTTCAGCTAAATCTCCTTTGCTATACAGTAAATATTTTGGTTATTTTCCCTTTAAAAATATGTTAATAACTCATCATGCTTTATTTTGAATGCAGAATTCACTTTTGGTGATGTAATGTTAAATGTTTTGAATGTCTTATAGGCTGATCCCAAAGTTGTGAGATGGAGAGTAAATATAAGGAAATCCTCTTATTAACTGGCCTGGATAACATCACTGATGAGGAACTGGATCGATTTAAATTCTTCCTTCCAGATGAGTTAAAAGTCTCCACAGCAAAACTAGAAAATGCAAATAGGACAGAGGTAGCAAACTTGATGATTCAAAATGTTGGTGCAGTGTCTGCAGTGACGAAGACCATACATGTTTTCCAGAAGCTGAATTATATGCATGTGGCAAAAAGTCTTCAGGAAGAGAAGGAGAAAGGTAATGTGGGAGTATGCTCGCCTTCCTGGTCCCTGTCTCCGTCTAGTCTGGGCCTTTCCTTTCATGATGTCAGTGGTATAAGGCCCCTAGTGCATGTTGTTGGAATGTTTTTGCTAACTTAGTACACTGCTCCTTTGCTCCCTTTTACTGAGAATTGCTAGGAAGTGTTTGTTGCAAATCCCACAAATTATTCATGTATTTGTTTGTCATCCCTTGTCCAATTTACCATTTCATAATCTTTTCACTTTGCCTGTCTTTGCCTGCAATTTACTTTGCAATGGACATGGACATAGGACTTCAATGTTAAGTTTTTAAAGTACCGTTTACCCAAGTATGTAATGTTCTCCAATTTTTCCGAAGGCTTGAAGGCAACATAAAGAAATTATAGCACTGGAAAATCATAAACTGGGACATTAGACATATTTCCTCCTCCATGTAGTCTGTCCATTCCTCTCCTTGTCCCCAGCCTGTTAGGGTCTGAGTTATTCCTCTTTTCTTCAGGCGGAATCTTCTATTCACAGATCCTCTCTTTTAAGTGAGGGATCCTCTCTTCTCTCTAGCTCCTACCACTGATGACAATATAAATTTCCCACAACAAAGACTGTTTTCTAAATATTATTCAATAAATCACTGAACATCTCCATCTGAAATATCTGCATTTGGTTTATATTCCTGATTTTGTTCCCTAAGAGCAATTGATATAGCCTGGCTTTCTAGCTAAATGACTAATAAGAGCCAACAAAGGAGTATCTCACCCGAAGACTTTTCCACATGAGTGTCTCCAAATACGACAATTTTAGGATTCTATGAACCACTCTAACAGCAAAAATTACAGCAGCTTTTATATAGTATCTGTGTGTGTGCAGCATGGATAACATGGCTTCTCACACGTGATTTCTATGATGGATAAATGATGACATGTAAGTGCTGACATAAGCACATAGTGCTACACAGGTATAAGTAGTATTTAAGGCACTTTACAGAAGGGACTGATTAGGTTATGCATTTCATCTTCCTCTGCTGAAGTTAGAATGTATCTCTTAGAGATGACCTCAAGGTGGCAGTGACTACACGTAATTGCTCCAAGTAACCAACAGCCTGTGTTTTTCTGATTCGGGACAAGAGGCAGGAGTCTAAAAGTGTTGACGAACATAGGCTGAAGATATTTAGGAATATCTTTTATTTTTGCCCCCAAATCAAGAATTCATTCTTCTTTCTGTCCAGGAGAGCACCAAATTTCCCCTATTGCAATCTTTCCTCTATTTTGTTGTTGTAATGATCCTAGGATTTTATTATCCCCACTAAGTGAAAATAATCCAGTTTGGGACCAGGTTGGAAACTTAAGAATAACTGGTGGCTCTGTACCCTGTGCAGGAAGTCAATTAAATTCCTGTCTTTAAACCAGTTTTTGTTTTCTTTTCTCTAGGTTTCATCTTTCACTCTTATTGAATGTTCTTTCTGTATAACCATTGTTTATCAGCACACAACATGCTCTATCTACTCGTGACTGCATCTCATGGGAGGTAGAAGAGATCTGGCAAAATCTTAAATGGAGGCAGTCAATAATCAGTAGACGGGACAGGATTTTATAGAAGGAGAGAGAAAAAATATGAGGACACTTAAGGCTGAAAAAAGGCAGCTGAGAGAGAATGTGCTCAATGCCTATAAAAGTCCTGTAAGATTAAAATAGAAGGCTGAAAAGATAAATGAAATAATAAATTAAAATTTGCACATGAGTATTAAGGAAAATGAGAGCTATACAGTGGGCAGATATGCTCTTTCACAAGTATTTCCTTAGTACCACTCTGTAGGAGATGAGAAATGACTGATGTGACGTGGTAGAATGGTATGTGATTCCCTTGGCCATTCTTGAATCTGTTTCCTCTCCTTGACTGTCAACATAGAAAGGAGACTTAATCTGCGTACCTCTCTGAAACATCTATTTCGTGGAACTAACTGACTTTTGGAAGGTTAAATTTCACTTATTCCTAAAGCAGAGCTCTCTGTAATATCCCTGACTGACAGTCAGTCACTTTGTGTTCTTTGAATGATAGTGATAGATAACTCACTACCCCATAAGACAGCTCATTCTGCACTTAAATGGCTTTGATCATTAAATCATTCTTATTTCTAGTAAATTCAAAGTGATTGTTGTGTTACTTTCACCCAGAACTTCTGAAGTTCCATCAGAAACAACATCCAATAATTTCTCAGCCTCTCTTCTACCTGAGTGCCTTAAATAATTGAAGGTGGCCATCTTGATACATGGTCTTTTTAAAAATCAGGACTGGAAGTTAGCTTTTTGTGATGAAAAGTAATTTTACCTTTGACCTGGGGGACTCAAGCCAGATTATACAGCTGCATTATGGTGGCATTGGTGAGGGGCCAGCATGCCATCTACCCATCCATCCATTCATCCATTCAGTAAATATCCTTTGAGTTCCTAATAGGTTTATGTTCTGGTAATACAACAGGGAGTTAAATCCAAATTTATAAAATATATTATATAATATAAATATAATAAAATATATATATATTTATAAAATTTATAAAATATAGAGCTTATACTCTAATTCAGGAGGTAGATATTTTTCTTAAAAGCAAATTAATGGATATAATAAACTGAGGTAAGTGCTCTGACAGAAAGGAAGATGATCCATCAACAGTGCATGCCAAGAAATCCTAACAAAAGCCAGAAATTGGAGTTAGTGCTGGTCAGATGAGGCTTCTCTGGAGAAATGATCCTTGAGCTAAGCTCTGAGAAATGAGTAGAAGTGAAAGGTGTCTTCAGTCTGAGGGAACTCCATGTGAAAAAGGCCTTGTGGCAGAAGGTGTTGACTTACTTAAGGACTTGAAAGAAAGCCAGCATGGCTGGAGTACAAAGAATCGCCAAAGGGTGGTATGAGATGCCCTTTGAGAGAGACAATGCAGAGTCTTGTAGAATGTGATTAGAATTCTGTCTTTGTTTCAAGAGAAATCAGAAGTGATCAAAAGGTTTTAAGCAGGGGCGTGAGACCAGATTTGCAGTTTGATGTGCTCACTATGGATTTGTGTGGAAAAAAATTTAGGGGCCAGTTTGACTTTGGGGAGAACAAATATTGCTATAGGTCAGGAAGAGGGAATAGTAGTTTTGATTAGTTCCTCAAATGAAAATAGAGGGAAGTATATTGAATTGAGAGAGATTTGAGAAGTATTAAGGGTTGATGATAGACTGGAAGTGAAAGGTTAATGAGTGGGGATCATCAGGGAAGATGCTTTGGTTTCATTCAAATAATTAAGGTTAGGAGGGTGAAATATACATATATAAACATATATACACACATTACACAAATAAGTGTATCTTTTTGTACATGTATATATTACTTTTTATTGTAGTATATCACCTGTACAGAAAGTACACAAATCTTAATAACACAGATCAATAAATTATCAAAAAGTAAATACAGCTCAAGTAGAAGGACCTGCAAATAGACTACACAACTATGTACTGGGGGCTTTGGGGAGAAGAAGAAGAAAAAAAAGTAAATACAAGGAGGTAGATTTCTTAACCCCCTGAATCTGGGCATAAGCGTGTGACTTGCTTTAGCCAATGGGACACTAGTAAACATGGTGAAAGAAGAGGCTTGAAAAGTGCTTATACATTGCAGTTTGCCTTCTCTTGTTGCTGGGAACCCTTCTGGCCTCATGTGAACCAACCTTGCTTAGCCTTTAGAGGAAGAGGCACCACAAGGAGTGAGGCCCCAGTCGTGACAGTCTTCCCAGGCATCCCAGCCAAGGTCCCAGACGTATGTGTGAAGCTATCAGATCACCCAGTTTCACCTGAGCCAGCCAGGATCAGACAAACGTCTCAAGCTACAGAACTATTAGAAATAATAAATTTTTGTTGTTTTAAGCCACTAAGTTTTTGAGTGAATAATTATGCAGCAAAGGTTAACTGGTACACCTCCCTCCAGCCTTTACGCTATTATTATTATTATATATTTTACTTCGATATGTTATAAACTACATAAGACATATCATCATCATTATTGTGGTATTAAACTATCAATATTCTTTTATATTTACCTATATATTTGCCTTTCTTTAATGTTCTTCATTCTTTCTTGAAGTTCTTGCTTCTGTATATCATTTCTTGCTTCCAGCCTGAAGAATTCACTTTATTATTTCTTGCAGTAGATTTCTGATTATCATGTATTCTCCTAGAGCTTGTCTGAAAATATCGACATTTGTCCTTCAGTTTGAAGATATTTTCATTTGGTATAAAATTTGAGATTTGCAGTATTGTTCTTTCAGTGTTTTAAAGATGTCCTTATAGTATCTTCTGGCTTTCATAGTTTCTATTGAAAAATCAGCTATTGGTCTTATTGCATTTACTTTTAATGTAATGTGTCTTTTTCCCTTACTACTTTTAAGATTTTCTCTTTCTTTTTGTTTTACAGCAATTTGACTGTGACGTACTGAGTTGTTTTCTTGGTAAATTTTCTGCTTGTGGTCTTTTAAACTTCTGACATCTGTGTGTTGATGCCTTTCGTCAGTGTGGCAAACTCTCAGTCTCTATCTCCTCAAATATTGTTTCTGCACCATTCTCCCTCTCTTCTCCTTAGGGAATTCCACTCACAAACAAGACATATTGTATATGTCCTACATATTTCTTATCCTCTCTTCTGTTTTCTTTTTCCTTTGTGCTTCTGTTTATAAAATTTCCATTGACCTATTTTCCCATTAACTAATCCTGTCTTCTGCTATATTCACTCTTCTCTTCAATCCATGCAATGTATTATTAATATGAACTATTTCATTTTCATCTCTATAACATATGGTTGGTTCTTCTTTCACAGATGGCAAAGCTATGTTGAAATGGTTCATTTTTCTCACTGTTTCAAGCATCATTTCCTTTACTTTCTTTAGCATGACAGTCATAGCTATTTTAAAATCTGTGTTCACTAATTCCATAATCTTGTCATTTGTGAGTTTGCTTATATTACCTACTTTTGTTTTTGATCATTTCTCTTCTCTTTAGGAGCTAAGCTCATTGATTTTTCTCCTTTCCTGGTGTTTTCCCACTGCTTATGAATAGTTTTTCCACTTTTTGTAATTGTTTTTCATGGCAGGATTTGTTCCTAAAAAGCAAGCCCACAATTGTCAGAAGCAGAATGTCTTCATGTACCATTGTATTCCTGTACCTATATCTCTGAAGGTATTTACTCTACTGCCATGATAGTCTAGTGCACCTGCATATGTGTGTGTGCGTGTGTATGTAAGTAAAGCTCCAAAAGAGGTTTTGATTCGAGATCATTTCATTTAATTCCTGAGAGAAAATGCTAGTTAAATGTTCTCAGCCACTTATGTTCATCTCTTCTGAGTTAACATGTATTTATTTATTTTTAATCAGTTGATAAGAAATACAAAGGGAAAAAAGGAACACAGCAAGTGAAAAAGAGAAGTCAAACTGAAATGAGTCCTGGTGCCTCTGCAGCTCCCAGAAATAGTGTCGTGGAGCAACACATTGCACCAGAAGTCTCTCCTCATGTTAAGGTACAATGGGGCAAGTACAGTGGCTTGGTCTTTGTAAGAGCATCCTCTAGTCACTATTCTTGCCATTTTCCACATTGGAGCTCTCTGTTCTTTATCTCATAGAGTGCAAGTAAAGAAAGTGAGGCTATGATATGAAAAGTATGTCTAGGTAACGAAAAGAGAAATTGCTTCAGATTCATCAGATTAAATACTTATTGATAGCTCCCAGTCTCTGCCAGGCCCTGGTCACTTTAACACATTGTTGCAGGTTGGATTCTATAAGAGGAAAACTCTGGGATAGAGAGTTGTTTTCAGGAGGTATATTTTAGGGTGCTCTCAAGATTAATACCTGTGGGAGAGTGAAGTAGGAGAAGAGGGAGAATTTTAACTCCAGTGTAGTTGCGGCAAAGACTTCAGCTTAGGGGTTACAGCAAAGATCCCAAAAGGAGCTCAGGAGCTGGAAGGGCTTTCAGTGTTGTTATGATTTGGATTGAGGGGGAGGATCTGTATACACCTGTGTTGACAAGATGAGGCAGCCCTCCTCGGACAAAAGCAATTCCTGGAGAGGGTCCTAGCCTCTGAAGAATGATTACTTTGTTCCTAAAGCAGAGAAGCAGGAAACATCTGGAGGCTCACCAGAGGATTCACCACACACATGCAATTTCATTTCCTATGAAGCAGATATTGTACCATTTTATAGATGTATGAGCTATGAAAACTGATTATATGTCCTGCCTTGTCTTTGTCTAGAACAATCACTTTCTCTGGCTTGTTCTAGAACCTTGTGGAGTTGTCAGGGAGACCAGATTCAGGTATAAGTGGTGCCTTCCAGTGATCAGTAATGCAAATGTCTATTATCCATCTATGGATACATGGTACCAAAGAAAAGAAATCTTGGAGTGGACCTAAGTGAAGCTGACGTTTTCCTGAATGGGTTCAAATAGAGACTGTTGGCATTGTCCATCCAAGACCTCCTTGTGAATAGACACTTTCCTGCACTCCAGGTCCCATTAGAGATCCCACTCCAAAATTCTTACACTTACCTTATATGCCTCTGTTTTTTCTGTATTCCCCTTTGAATCTGGATGGCAAGTTGCTTTCTAAAAGTAACATTTGCTTCTAAAATGGACCACCCAAAATCTCTTATCTCTGTTACTTTGGAAAAGCACAGAGAAAAGAATTACCTATAATCCTATCCCCTAGAGAAAGCCATGTTTGATCTTGGTAAATATCTCTCCAGTCAGCTTGTGTGTGTGATTTAATTGTTTATTTATCCAATAAGAAACACATTATATATTCCATTGAGGACCTTTCCCTTTTTTGAGTCAATTATAACAGTTTATCATATTATTTCTCTAAAGCGGTTTTAATATTTATAGTATTATTTATCTGACTATACCATATTTTATTTAACCAAATTCCTATTTTTGGATATTAAATTATTTCAATTTTTTATAATTACAAATAAGAAGATGCAATTGTTTTGTATAAACCTTAGTGCATAGTTCATTATTTCTAAGGGTAAATTCATAAACATAGAATTGATTCTCCTTTTTAATTCTCCCTTTAACTCACTTGTAGGATCTCTGACATAGGTCACTCCTTTTTCTCACATTTAACTTAATCTGTAATTTTATTATGCACATGTCCATCTCTGGGAATTTGGGGAGCTCTGTGCAGGCTATTGAGCTCCCTTACTTTTATACCAGAATAAAGTGAGTATTCAAGACAGTATTAGATGGAGGAACAAGGACATCTTATGCCCTAATGTAGTGGATAGAAGAAGACAGAATCAAAGTCACCTGTTTGGCTTAGTTAGCAATGCTTTGGAGATCTGATGGGCTCTTCACATAGAGGATAAAAGCAAAGGTTCAGATCAGGGAGTCTGCCTCCAAAACCCATTTTGCTGTCTCATCTGAACACAGGACTTGAATTCTTCCCCATGCATTCTCTTTCTATCTAGATAATTCTACATCTCAAAATCTTCCTAACTCCTCTATATCTTTTCCTTTGATTCCACTATCTTTGGCTGACTTTCTGAGGTTTAACGTTGTAAGTGAAGTGAAGTTCCCTCAATAGTACCTACTTTACTCAAGCTCTTGTCTTTCTTCTGTTGTCTTCAGCCTAAGCAGAAACAGATGGTGGCCAAGCAGGAACCTATCAGGAAAGAAGGGTTGCAGAAAGGCTCTATGACAGTCATGGTGCTGAAAGCAACGAAGCCATTCGAATTTGAGACCAAAGAAGGGAAGCAAGAGATGTTTCACGCTACAGTGGCTACTGAGAGTGAATTCTTTTTTGTAAAAGTTTTCAACAAAAAGCTAAAGGATAAATTCACTCCAAAGAATATAATTATAATATCCAAATATTATTGGCACAGTCATTTCCTGGAAGTGAATAGTGTCTCACGTGTATCTGATGCCAAATCTGACCAACAAATCAGTGTCCCAAAGCACATTATCAGAAAAGCTGGTGAAACCCCAAAGATCAATAAGCTTCAAACTCAGCCCCATGGAACAATTGTGAATGGGGTGTTTGTAATCCAGAAGGTAAGTTTCTATATATAATTTTATAGTTATTAGCAAAAATAGCTTATTCTCCACTATCAGCTTGAAGAAACTTTCAAAATTATCCATTTCAAAGTCTGTTTATATAGAAAAAAACTGAAACAAACTCCAAATAACTAAAGAGCCACAGAATGTGCCAAAACTGAAATACATTGAAAGTATTTTCATTCTCAAGAAGCTGTCACATTCCTATTTCAATTTCGTTTTATCCTTGTAGCTTCTGAAAAAGAGATTACTTCATACACAAATGATGTTTGTCCTCTGGGTTATTTTTGTACTTTATATATATGATATTTAAGTGACTATTTTTGTGAATACAAAATTGCTATAATTGAGTGGTAAATCAGATTAATTTCCCTGGAAGACCAATAAATAGAGAAGGATTAAAGAATTGTGATTAAAAGAAGAAAACAGAGGAAAGAGTTAGTTTGAGGAAACTTATTAGAAGTGAGATAGAGAGCTTAATTTTTGTTTAAAGTCAAATTGATAGACGATTGTGTTTTTAAAACTTTAAGAGAAATTAATCTTGAAAATCATGCAAAATGTATTCAGTTTTTCTAAAATGCACTTCTTTCAGTTTGAAATATTAAACATTATTTTCTAGAACAAACAAAAAAGAAATGAGAAATGATAAAGTATTTTGACTCTGAGCCTCAGGGGAACTAGCCTTGTGTGACTACTTCTTCTTGTCTAGGATGGGACCTGGGGAACCACAAAGAGGGAACTTGCTGACATTTCCTCCAGGTGTCTTACCATAAGCTCTACTATCTTGGAATTAGTTGGAGGGGCACTGATAAGGAGAATCTATCCTTCTTGAAATTTCAAGCCAAAAATGACCTTGTGTAAGAAAGTCATATTCTTTACCCTAGTCATGAACCTTTAATCTGGCCATCCAATTGTGGATGCACAAATATATATTCATTTAGCCCATTACATTAAACCTAAAATACTATCAACCTTCTAGATAACTGATCAATACCCCACTCCCTTTTGACTTGGACTTGAGTGTGAGTTATTTCTTGTCCTCAATTCTTGTAGGGGAGAAAAACTTTTCCCTTCTTCCCCTCTAGGTTCTTTGGCTGGTCTAATAATTAAATTGACATAAGACAGATTAGCAGGAGAAAAACAAATTTAATTTTGTATGTATGAGAGTCCCATAAAAAATATTAGACTCAAAAAGAGCCAGGCAATTAAGGCTTATATAGAATCCTGAGCTATGAAGAAAGGGGAGGGAGTCTGGGGCTTCAAAGGGGAGGAAAACAATTCACAGAAAAATGAGGAGAACACATTTGGTAAATAGATATTTACCCTACCATGCAGACAAAGTTTTTCTTATATAAAAAGGTGTCTCTGGGAATATCTTTCTTCCTGGTACAGGTGCCCTATCTAAATTCTTTTAGGCCCTTAACAGAGAGGTAAAAAGCTTTTCGTGACTCGGCTGGGTCTTAATTGCTTTCAGCTGAAAACAATACGCATATCTAAGTGGCACAATTTGGGGTGGCTTATTCTGCTCCCCCTCATTCCTAACTCTTATTTAGACTCTTTTCTAGGTTTTGAATCATTTGCTCATATCTCTCCTGGATTTGTTGCTTTAAGTGACTCTCCTCTGTCAGGGAAGAGGAAATTTCCCCCTTAAATCTCTTGAGTTCTTGTGCTGGATTAATAACAAAATTTAACATAAGACAGATTAACGAGAGAAAAACCTATTTAATTTTGTGCACACAGGAGACCATAAAAATGATGCTAAGAGAGTGACCAAAAAGCGGGCACCTTTATATATTTTTACACAAAGAAACAATAAGTTTGTGAGGATTTTACAGGAGAAAGAAACTTAGGTTTGGATGCTTACTTAGAAAGGAATTTAAGCAGAGTTTGGATTTAGGGTAGTAAATTAGTAAAAGAGTAACAAGATTTATTTATACAGGCTCCTCGTCCTAGTATGAAGAGGATGCCTTTCGTATGGGAGATTTATTTCCCCTTTTGGGGGGGGACAGAGACAGGAAAGTCAGAGTGCCGTTTTTGTACTTGCTCAAGTAACTTTAATTCAAAATAATCAATATCCCACTGTGGCACATCTTGGAGTGGCCTGCTCTGATCCCCAACACTTCCAACTCCCGAGTCTTCTTTCCCCTGCCTCTTAGGGCTACTGGCCCTGAAGAAGCCCCATCTTCTCCATCTACCAGTTGTTGGCTCTCACCATTATCCTGTCCTCCTGAAGGAAGAGAGATTGGGACTGGAAAGATGGACACAGGAAGCAATATATTCTAAGTAAAACATAGCTGTCTCCTCTACTTGAATTTTCTAACATCTATTAGATATATACCTGCCAGTTTCAAAGCTTGATTTTTTCCATTTATATTTCTTTCTTGAGGCTGTTGCTGGCACTTCTGATGTCTGATGGGTGGTGGTGTTCCTCAGTCAAATTATCAAAGGTTAGATGTTGGTTTTGTTTTGCAGAAAACAGAACGGAGGAATCATCAGTTATTTGACCTAAGTGACAGTACAGGGAGGATGGAAGTGTTGGTGCTTGGAAAACAGAACAAAATTGAATGCGAAGAAGGGGATAAACTTCGACTTACGTTCTTTGAGCTATCAAGAACTGGAGAAAAACTACAGCTGAAATCTGGAATTCACAGTTTAGTTAAGGTGGGAACTACAAGGAGGAAATCGAAGTGTCCAAGGGGATGATATTTTGTGTTTGCTTTCAGAAAGCTGGACAGGGGCCTTTGAACAGGATATGGTGTGAAAGACCCTGATAGGTAGTACACCTGCATCTCACAAAACTTAGGAACATCACTTTTAGGAAATACAGATCCTAGATACACAATTAAGAGGACATGGGCTTCACAAGACAGAGAAACACACTGTGTTATCCACACGACCCCTCAAAGAGATCATTGGTAACACTGTAAGTCTAATGCAGACAGTTTGGCCAAAGTTGGGCAAATTATTCTGACAGACATATATAAAAGTAGACATAGACCATGTACACCTTGAAGACACATTTCACAGAGTCAATCCAGCCATCCTAGCACCCACCATAGCCCAGGGGAAAACCCTACTCCTGCCCTTTCATCACTGATTCATACCCATCCTACTACCACTACTTGGTCCCCCTTCCTATGTCTCAGCATTGTTTGCACTGACTGCTGCTCCCTTTGTAAGAATGGAGGTAGAGACTATGTGCCCTTTTTAAGTAGGAGTGTATATCTCAAGGCAGACATTATCTTCAGGACAATGATCAAGAGTAAAAACTATACTGTGAGGGAAGGAGATAATTCTATGAGAATAAAAGAAAGGTGCACTTTAGAAGGACAGAGTCACTATGAGCAGAGGAGGAATAACTGATTAGCTGCATCTCAGGCTATATATCTTTTTTCTCCATCCAGGTTATTAAGGCAAAAAAACTGAAATGAAAGGATCAATTGAGATCAAGCAGTTTAAAGAACATTTAATTGAAGAATATCTGAGACAGTATCTTCAACCAGATTGTAAGCAACCTGAGAGCAGCAGTATACGGACTCTGTCCTCTCATCCCCTAAATTAGTCAAGATGGGATGATTGCTGGATAAACAATTCCAAGGTGTTAACATATTGTCGCCATATAGGTTTATTTCTCATTCATTGCAGTCATGTTTAGTTTGGGGTAAGGATAGGGTTCTGCTTCATGTAGATGTTCAAGGATGTTATAGATGTTCAACCTCTGTTGAATGAATAAAATGGTTAATGGAAAATATGTAATATATGTAGTTACACAAGTCAATACACTAAGGGTATAAATAACCAAATTCACAGGAGAAAAAATATGAAAAGCTTGTAACATGAAAAGATTGTCAACTTCACTAATAATATGAGACACAGTTAAACAATGAGTAGGACTCTACTTCTACCGAGAATGCAGAAAATGAGAAAGAGTCTTGTTCCCATGCTTACAACAACAAAAGATAGCCAGATGATCTGCAAAATCACAACTTTTTCTGAAGCCATCTGAGGGCTGAGGCTGCAGTGAGTATCTAATTAAAATATCTAAGAAGGGAAACCTCCAAAGAGAGAAAAGATGAAAGCACTTGTTCATTTGGGGGCAGATGATAGATACTAGATACCCCACAAGATAGAAGAATTCAGCTAAAATTTTTAATGAATTGCTCAAGGTTGACCTTGAAAGTGTAGAACAATAGGAAGCCTCAACGACAAGGAGAATTTGCAACTGCTTGAAGGCACTTCTCATTGGATCTCATTGGATGATCATGATAAAGATTAGGGACAGGCATGGAAGAGGGAAAGATTAGCCACTATGGGAAAGACGTGAAGCCCTTCCTGAATCCTTCCCTGCAGAAAAAAAAAAAAAGATTTCTGGGGGAAGAGAAGCAAATTCTGCCATTTTCCTATATCAGCAGAGAGGGACAAGATCAGAGGTAAAAATCTCACCCCTAAGACTCAGGGACACAGTGCCTGCCAAAGACAGGCTGAACCAGGAAAACAGAGAACTCGCCCATTACTCTTCCTGCAACCTGCTCTTACCACCAGGCTAAACAAGCACCAAATAGCAAGTCCCAACATTTAACTGCTGGCAGATGGTCAAGAGCATGTAAAAAAGCATTTTATTAGGTTCAGATGTAAAAGGAATACAAAGTTGATGGTGTAGCACTAGAGGAATTTTAAGCATGTGGTGCACTGAGAGTAAATAAAAACAACAAATGTCAAACCCAGATCTACTCCTGTGGAAATGAATTCAACCACCAGAGTAAAGTCATAGCAAAAAACAATCCCTGTTCATTTCCAGGCATAAATACTATTTACCTCAATCTCTACTTTCACAGATGGCTTTCAATAAAAATTGCAAGACATACAGAGAAATTCTGTCAAGAGACAAATCAATCAAAAGAACCAAAGTCAGTTATGGTATAGGTGATGGAACTTTCAGATGGGATATTTACAATAGATGGACAACATGCATCCTCAGATGGACAATTTCAGTAGGAAAAGGAAACTAAGAGAATGAATGAAATGGAAATGCTAGAAATGAAAACCATGGTTACACAGATGAAGAATGCCTTTAACCAGATCATTGGTAGACTTGACACAGCACATGAAAGAGTGAATGAACTACAGATACTACAGATAGTAATAATAGAAATTATTCAAATGGAAACCAAAAAAATGAAAAAAAAAAAACATAGCATATCTAAGAGACATGGGACAATATGAAGCAGTTTAAAGTATCTCTAATCGGAATCCCAGAAAGAGAAGATACAGAGAATGAGGCATTATGAATATTTGAAAAGAGATGAAGGCAAAGAATTTCTCAAAACTAATAGCAGAGTCTGAATTACCACAGATCCAAGAATCACAGAGAACACAAGAGAATAATAATAATGAAATAATGATAATAAGCCACACACACACTTAGGTATGTCATATTCAAACTTCTAAAAGGCAAAAGATGAAGTTGGAAACTTGAAGGCAGCCAGAGAGAAAAAAGACACATATACACATGTACAGACAGCAGATTTACAGCAGACTTCTTGTCAGAAACTACTTAAGCCAGAAGACTATGGATTAACATCTTTAAAGTTCCGAAAGAAGAAGACAATTTTCAAACCAGAATTCTAAACCCAGAAAATAGTCAAACATGGAAGAGAAGTAGACATTTTTCAGACCAACAAAAACTGAAATAATTTGTTCATAGTGGAACTTGAATTAAAATAAATGTTAAAGGAAATGTTTTAGGCAAAGCAATATAATAACATACAGAAATTTAAAACTATACAAAGAAAAGAAGTACAGTAAAATAAAGGTAATATAACATTTATGTTTTCTTATTTTTAAGTGTTCTAGAAGACAACTGATCTTCAAAAAGAGGGGTAGGCAAAATTGTTCTGTAAAGGACCAAATAGTATGTATTTTAAGCTGTGTGGGCCACGTTACAGATGCTGACCTTTGCACTGGCTAGAAAAACAGCCATAGACAATCCGCAAATGAATGAGTGTGTTTGCATTCCAATAAAACTGTATTATGGGCACTTAAATTTCAATTTTATATATATTTTTTTATGTCACACAATATTCTTCTGATTTTTTTCTCAAACATTAAAAAGATGTAAAAATCGTTCTTAGCTTCTGGGCTGTACAAAAACAGGCAATGGGCTGGACTTGCCCCATGGGCCATAGTTTCCAATCCCTAGTCTGAAGCAAAAATATTAACAATGTATTGTATGTTTATAGAGTAAATAAAAGTAAAGCATTTGACAATAATAGCACAAAATACAGGAGGAAGGAATTAGGATTATACTCTTGGAGAGTCCTTATACAACGTGTCAAGCAGCATGATACTATTTGAAGGTAGATTCTGATTGAAGATTTTTAAAAATTTTTTTTCCTTTTTCTCCCAAAGCCCCCCAGTACGTAGTTGTATATTCTTCGTTGTGGGTCCTTCTAGTTGTGGCATATGGGACGCTGCCTCAGTGTGGTTTGATGAGCAGTGCCATGTCAGCACTCAGGATTCGAACCAACAAAACACTGGGCCACCTGCAGCAGAGTGCAAGAACTTAACCACTCAGCCACAGGGCCAGCCCCTAGATTCTGATTAATTAAAGATGTATATTCTAAACTCTAAGGCGATGACTACAAAATACTTTTAACAGGGATATAAATAATGACACAATTTTGTGATATTGGAGAAAAGACAGCCATCTAGACTGACAAATAAATAAAAAACAATAAGAAAAGTATACATATTGAAGTATATGAGAAAGTCATTTGGTTTAAAACTAATTTGGCCTGACCTTGTTTTTCCAGAAAGGCCTGATGTGGCCTGTCAATCATGCATTGTACATCTGCTTTAAATATTTACTAGCAAAGAATGATGCCTTTAAAGGTAGGAATGTATGCCTCCCCCCATATGAGCATTTGTTTCAAGACAAGCATTCCTCCCCAGAAACGAAGGGTCAAACCTACCTGCTGTTTACATCTTGTGACCTGCTGTGCTCATCTTGTGACCATGACCTGCTGTGCTAGCAAAACATCTTTTGACTGTAGCAAAAAGAGATATTCCTGTCATATTTGATGTATGTTCCTTGTTCCAAGATGGTATATAACCACGCTGTACATCTCACATCTTTGGAGTGCTTCCTCCTTTGGTGAAGGTGTTCTCCTGGGCTATATGGTCTCCAGATAGGCTCATATAATGAACTTACCCCAATTTTTATTTATAGATTGATTATTGATTATTTGTGTCAACAAAATGCAACAGAAGACAGCAGAGAGTCCAAGAATAAGCCACATACATACAATTTATTGATTTTCTACAAAAGTACAAACACAATTCAATAAAGAAAGGATAATTTTTCAACAAATAGTATTGGAACAATTGGATATTTGTATTAATAAAATAATGAACTTGGTCCATACCTCACCATCTCTACAAACTTAATTCAAAATGGATCATTAAGTAAATGTGAAACCTAAAACTATAAAACTTCTAGAAGAAAACACAAGAGAGGTGGCTGGTCCCATGGCATAGTAGTTACATCCGATGCGCTCTACTTTGGTGGCCTGGGTTCAGATCCTTGGCACAGACCTACACCACTTGTCAAGCCATGCTGTGGCAGCAGCCCACATACAAAATAGAGGAAGATTGGTACAGATGTTAGCTCAGAGTGAGTCTTCCTCACCAAAAAAGAAAAAAAAAAAGAAAACAAGAGAAAATCTCTGAGATGTTGTTTTAGGCAAAGATTTCTTAGATATGACACAAAAAGCACAACCTTACATAGGATAAATTTTTGATAATTTAAACTTCATCAAAATGAAAATGTCTTTTCAAAAGATATCTTAAAGTCATGAAAAGGCAAGTCATAGATTGGGACTTAATACTTGCTAGTCACATAGTTGCTAAAGACCTCATATCCAGAATTTACAAAGAACTCTCAAAACTCAATAATATGAGAACAAATAACTGAATTTCAAAAATAGTCAGAAAACGATACATGGGTGGCAACTAAGCACATGAAAAGATGCTCAACATAATTTATCTTTAGAGAAATGCACATTAAAACTACAATGAAATACCACTATGTACCAATTAGATGGCTAAAATTTAAAAAGATTGACCATAACCATTGCTGATGAGGAGGTAGAGGAAGCAGAACTGTCACAAAATGCTGGCAGAAATGTCAAATGGTACACCACTTTGCAAAAGAGTTTGGCAGTTTTTCTTTTTTTTTTTTTCAGGTTAACACACACCTACAATGGTAAACTCTGAGGAGGATGCAGAGGAACTGAAACTCTCACACATTGCTGGTGGGAATGAAAAACGTTAGTCTCTTTAGAAAACAATTTGGCAATGTCTTATATGTTTAAACATATACCTATCATACGAACCATCAATCTCCCTCCAAATTTTTTATCCACTGAGACGATAACGTGATCACACAAAAATCTGCATGCGAATTTTTATAGCAGTTTTAATGTAATTCTGCAAAACTGTAAAGAACCCCATTGTTCCTCTCCTGGCGAATGGGTAAACAAACTTTGTTGGGTCCACACAATTGAATTTTACACAGCAATAAAAAGGAATAAACTGGTATACGCAATTGCATAGATGAATCTTAAATGCACTACACTGAAATCAGCCAGAGTTAAAATTCTATATACACTTTTAATTTTATTTTATGAAAAAGGAAAAAGTATGGGTTAAGAAGCTTTATCAGTGGTTGCCAGGAGCTTGGAACTGGGGGAAGAGTGGACAAGTATCATGAAGGAAATTCTTGTTATGATGGAACTGTTCTAAATTATCAGGAAAGTGATTTTTCCTCTGTATTCCAGTTTTTCTCATTAGAAGAATAAAAAGGAGAACATTATCAACCCTCAAAAGTTAGTGTGAAGATTAAATGACACAAAATAATTGCAAAACACTGGGTATCAAATATGTGGTTATTAAATATACGGTAAATTTCAGTTATAGATATCTACTTTCTGCCATTGTACGCTAAAGTGAATTAATTGTTCTTCAGTGTTTGCCTAATGCAGGTCTTTGCCTGGGGCAACTTCCTGATGGAATCCACATATGAGAAATGTGAGAACCAGGAAATGTGATTGGAGAGCTACTGAGCTCTTGGTACTTGAGTGAGTGGAACCTGTTATTTCACATCAGACAGGGCTAGAATTGCTTCCAAATTTACTAATGTCTTCGTGCAAATCACCAGAAGCTGCCTCATTTGGCAGACAAATTACCTAATTATACCCCATCTAAGAGACCAATTCTGAAAAGATATTCATCCTTCTGGACCAAAGCAACCTCTCCGTAGGACACAGGGTTTGGCAATTGAAGCCCAAACCATTTCAGCCACTGTCTGCCACCTCACTGGGTTCCTTTTGAACAGAACATAGCTTGTTTCAACCTGTCCATTCTTGACCAGAGACTCATCATATAAGGATCCTCCCCAAAGTATAAATCCAAACATTCCTTGGGGCCTGCGTGCCCCACCCTGATTTATAGGCTACAGATTATTTTCTTTTAAACAATTCACCAATGAATTAGACTCCTGGGGAATCACTCCTTTAGAGAAAAACATGATGTTTATAGTTATTTCCAAATTATAAATGTTACAGATGTAAAATATGACATTGAGATGGTACAGAGACATATAAAAATGAAAGAGAAAAGCACTTGTAATACCCCATTTCCAAGAATTTATAGCTGGTATGTATGTTGCTGTATTTCAACTATATATATATATATTTTTTCTGTACTTAGATCTTATCTACATGAACATCATTTTTAATGGCATCCAGGTTTCAGGAGAACTCTAGTGAGGTTTGCATAGATGAATCAGGATTGAGTGGTTGTTTCCTGCTTTTCCTGGCCTTGATGACCTTGAAGAAGAAAGAGATTAAGATAGACCAGTTGAGATTCAGCCCATTATACATTTCTCTCTTCGCTCACATGTCCCCTTGCCATGGGCTGCATCCCTTTCTGTCTTCCTTTCTAAAAGGTTCTTTTCTCAGTCTCACCTATCTCCTTTCATGAGATCCTGTTTATTGAGTTACCCACCCACCCCTTACTCTTGGTTGAGACCCTGAAATGAGATATTCACTCACACCCAGCATGAATACATGTGGACAGGCAGAAGGTATTGGGAACAACAGGAGAGAGGAAGGAGCAGGTACTCATGCTAAAAGTTGAAGAGAATTTTCTTACTGTGAAGAAACGTGGGAAGAGGGTGTCAAAGGTATTCCTGGTGCAATGCTCTGAGGGAAGCTTTGGAACATTTGATTGATGGTCCTGAGAACTGGAAAGATTCAAGAGTATGTGCATTTCTGATCACCTGGATGTGTCAGCCTTTGTATTTGATCTGTTTGCATTCAGTATTAGCCTTTGTTAGTGTTCCAAGAATCCCACATGGATGCGTGTGTGTGTGTGAGTGTGACAAGGAGTGTGGACTTTGTATTGTAGTACCAAACACTTCTATTTCTTATTGACCAACAGCAACAAACAGTAAAGGCAGGTATCTCACTAACAGCAGGTGACTTTGTGTTCTGAGATGCTCAGCGGCATCCTTGATCATTTAATCTGGTATGAGCTGTGCTAACCATCCTCTGAGATAGATGATATTCCATCCATTTTATAGATGATGAACCTGAAGTTACTAGTTTTTAAGATCTTAGTCAACTAGCAAATTACAGAGCCAGGATTTGAAAAAAATCTGGCTTAATGAAGCCCAAATTTACTAAATAATCTCCCTGCTTTAATAAATTCAACCAATTTTATGATAATTAGCTTAGGTATCATATCTTTTGAATGCCTCTCTGAAGTTTCTCTCTTCAACATCATTAAAAATGTTCTTCTTTAAAAATAAAAACTGATGGAAAGAAAGAATGATTATACCCACTAAAGCAGGAGGATTAGTTATTTTTCCCTCTATTGGACTCTGTATAATAGCAGCAGTCTAGTTTTTTAAAATTCTTCTTTAGAAGAATGATGTTCCTCAGAAGCTCTCACCTTGATGAAACTGTGAATTACGGATCTCAGCTGCTTTTCCTGACCTAATGCCAATTCAAAGCAGATGAGTTGAAGTTTATCTCCTTCCTCGCAGTTGATTTTGGTCAGTCGTCCATACACTATAACTTCCATCTGCCCTGTACTATCTTGTATTCCATAAGATATGACTTCATTCCGCACTTCTTTCTGCAAAAGAAAATTAGCATCCATCTTTTGAGAACTGCATCAGACTTCCGCATCTGTTAGAAACACAAGGTGTTGGTGGAATCTTTTGTCTCTGACAGGTTAATTTAAGCTGTAGGTCCAGAATTACAGGTACTAAATAGCTTAATATATCTAGTTGAGAAAATTCCCTTTTGCATCCTGTTTCAACTTTTCCTTCTTTTAGGTCTTTATTTGCCAGGTTCTTCTAAAAGTATTGATTACTTCCTAATTTTTCCTGCTTCCATCTCATAATAGCTGACATCTCCTTTTTATTTGTCTTTTTTTTTTTTTTTTTTTTTGAGGAAGATTAGCCCTGAGCTAACTACTGCCAATCCTCCTCTTTTTGCTGAGGAAGTCTGGCCCTGAGCTAACATCCATGCCCATTTTCCTCTACTTTATACATGGGATGCCTACCACAGCATGGCTTTTGCCAAGCAGCCCCATGTCCGCACCCGGGATCCAAACCCGCGAACTCCAGGCCACCGAGAAGCGGAATGTGTGAACTTAACCGCTGCGCCACCGGCCCGGCTCCCACAGCTGATATTTCTTAGAGAACTTAAATACAATCAGATCTGATAATCTTTACAGATTTCTTTGGCACCTACCTGGGAACAGAGAAGGAAGGCCTTTCCTGCTTCATTGTGAGTCTGAGGAAGATGGTTGCAAGTCTTCATTAAGTAGACTGCTATATCAATATGTAATTCTTTCTTCTATCTTCTCTATTATTCATTCTTTTCCAATCTGCCTAAATCTTGAATCTAAATTATCTAGTCCCATTGTTCTAGTTTCTATCTCACTTACTTTGCTCATCAATTCTACAAATGCATATATGTGCACAGTCATTTAAACAGAGTTTGCATAAAACAATAGGGGTAAAAGTAGACAGCAACCCTAGAGGACATATATAATGGAATATGAAGCAATACTTCATTAAAAAAAAAAAGTTACGTCAGCTAAGCTTTGTATTCTTATGTTGTTTTACACTAATCTAAGAATTCACCAAAATTTTGATTTTATTGCCCATATTTGTAAATTGAAGTATTAAACTACATGATTATTCTTTTAAACATCCATATTTCTTATTACTTAATGACACTGTCAGTTGCTCAACAATTTTTTGATGAATAATATGAAGAGATAAGCGCACCTTAGAGTTCAGATGCTCAGCATCTTAGCTATCTCTTGGAAAGAGATGCATTCTAGGGCAGAGCAGTCTGTTGATTTCTTAGTCTGGTTGTCTCAACTGGAATACAAGCTTGAGAGGGTAATTCTTTATACACAATTAGGTTAAACTGTCACTGAAACAGATGAGGCAGAACTCAAAGAAACCAAATCAAAAGGATGTGTTTATTGATATAAACTCTGCACTGTCCTGGACCAGGGTAGCTGTCAATGGGTCATCATAGCTGATAAAATGCCAAGGTTTCTGGGGAATCTCTTTCCAAAGAACTTGCATGCTGTTACCTTGAGAGGAGGACTGTTCCTAGATTCTCTCTCCCATATCCTGAAGTGGTCATGGGGCCACTGAGTTCCCATAGGACATTAGCCAAACTCCAAATGGCAAGTTAAGACATTTAAATTCTGAGGTTGCAGGAGAAACATTACAAAACAAGGGTGTGGACTTACCTTATGCACCTGATATACCCCATTCACAAATGTTCCTGGAGCAACTTGTGAGCACAGATGACTGATTTTAGGAGTTGCATTTGCATTTGCAATCAGACTTTTTGAGACCTCCATCTTTCGGTCAGCATTAACATCAGACACAGATGAGGCATTGTACACCTCCAGGAACCCATTGCGGCCAACATAATCTGATATGGCAATGACTTTCTTTGGGATGAACTTCTGCTTCAGGCTGACATCAAAAACCTTCACTTGGAAGAACTGGCTCTCAGTAGCCACTGTGGCATGAAACATCTTTTTCTCACCTTCACTAAAGGCATATGCAAATGGCTCTGTTACTTTCAGTACCGTCACTTCTTTGGGGCCCGTCTGTAGACCCTGTTCTTTGGAAGCTTCTTTAGGTACAGACTTCAGTCTTGGTTTCTACTTAGAAGTACACACAAAAACCAGGCACAATTAAGAAAGGAAATACAGAGTCACTCTCTAGTGATAACCTTCTCAGGCTGGTTGTTGAGCCTCAACGAACACCATAATGGAGTGAACTTGGGAAAAAACTAAACAAATATGGCTGACGTGGTATAATTTAGCTAATGGAAGAAATGGAGAAGGTTTAAATAGCAATATTATTTATTTTCTTCACTTTTTATAAGTTTGGAAAGGAGAATATTTTTCTTTAAAAAGAATTAACCCAAGAAAAAAAGTATTTCTCCTAGGAAGAGCTATGTAGAGTGTAGCGACAGTGGCAATAGCAATGCTGTTGTGTAGTGATTCCTAATAGAGATGAAGATGAAAGATAATCCTAATTTATCCCATCAACTCATTTGAGGGAGCAAAGTAAGATATAAACGGGGGAGAAAATAAGTTATCCTTAATATCACTGAGAGTGGGGAATGGCTCCAGTCAGAAACCATTGCTTTCATGTGGAATTAATCCCAGTAGCTGTGGCAATTTAAAGACCAAGACCACAAAGCCCATTTCCAAGAAAGCAGTACTGTGTTGAAAATAGGTTAGTAAGATAGTCACTGGAAGAATCCTATGACCTTCCCTAATTTGGAAATGTCCTGGATAGAGACTTTTGAAGAGCAACAGAATCGGCCACCTCAAAATTTGCCTTTTTGACATAAAATTGTTTCGAAAAACAGCAGATACTGGAGAGGCTCTAAATACAGAATAGTAGTTGCCCCTTTGTAAGAAAAATTTGCGTTTATAAAGGAACTCTCCATTTTTAAGGGTATCTCCTTCTCTGTATCAGGAAAACAAAGATGATTCTAAATCACAAGAGAATCTTATCAATGGGAGGAGGAACTGACTTACATCTGCACAGCAAACATTACATTTGTTTAGTCTGATTTTCTTAGTACGCTCCCCATAACTGGCTTCCCTCCACCTTTCTTTTTTTTGTCTTTAGCTGAAGATGATATTTGAGCTGATGGTTTAGGCCACCTCAGGGAGTTACTCATTTATCCTGGGTATCTTCCATGTATACATGGTATAAATGTTAATAAACTACAGTTTATTTTTCTTTGTCAATCTGTCTTTTATTACAGGGCTCTCATCCAAGAACTCAGAAGGGTAGAGGGGCAATTATTTTTCCTCCTCTACCTTCTCTTGTTAGGATAATGGTAGGATCATTAGGAGAAGTATGCCAACGGAGAAGCCAGGTCTCCTGTCTCCTCAGTGGCCTGCACCATTTCTGAGTTTCAAGAGAGCACTTTGAATTGGAGGGGAGACTGCTGATCAGTAAGAGGAAGTATGAAGGCAACGGTGGCCATGGAGGTCCTAGGGACCCGTATATGGAGACAGACTAGCTACCTCCACAGACCAGTGGTGCTTCTTGTGGTCTAACCTGGAAAATTATACAGTCCACAACCTGTCGGTCATGACGATTAACTCTGATTGAATGTGGCCAAGTCATCCTAACATCAGGAAGCTCATTCCCAGTGCAAGTTAGTCGATAACAAGAAATCTCATAATAGTAACAACAGCAGCACCCAGACAAGAAATGCGCAGGACTTAAGGAGGAAATTATGTATTTATTTTGAGAGGCATGAAAGTAGACCTGATGGGTTAATGCTGTTATTGTGTTCAATGTGGGCAGAGGGAATACTGGAAATAACTTGAAGTCAAATAATACAGGATTATTTTCCTAATTTATTAAATAACCATGCAATTAACCTTGTACATTAAAGTAAAAATTTAGGGGCTGGTCTGGTGATGTAGAGGTTAATTTTGCATGCTCCACTTTGGCGGCCCAGGGTTCACGGGTTCAGATCCAGGGCACAGACCTACATACCACACATGAAGCCATGCTGAGGCAGCATCCCACGTATAAAAAGGAGGAAGATTGGCACAGATGTTAGCTCAGGGACAATCTTCTTCAAGCAAAAAGAGGAAGATTGGCAACAGATGTTAGCTCAGGGCCAATCTTCTTCTCCAAAAAAAAAAAAATTAAAAAAATAATTTAAATCTGTTTTGGTTAATTGAAATAATAATTTCCAGATACAGTACGTGAAAAAAACCCCCGAGTTATAGAAAAATATGTGTAATGTGATCCAACCTGGGCCAAAATGATGTCCTTTGTGTATACATAACAAAAGGTAAAACCAGAAAGACCATTTGCCAAAATATAACATTTGATAGAGGAGAGATTTCAAATAGTTAAAATTGAATTATTTTTGTCTATGAAATCTACATTTCCTCAATTATCTAAGAGATATTACTTACATAATAAAAAATGAAAGAGAAAGAATTGGTGATAGTGCTTTGTTTGGCTCTGTATTTCTCCACCCTAAACTGTATCTTTCACCACGTATTGAGGGAAATATGAAAATAAAATTAAGTGAACAAATGACTGTACCCAGTAGAGAATAGGGATGATGAGGTACCCACTGTGTCACAGATTATCCTAATGCAAGTGGGGTACATAATAAGATTTGGAGTTCACATTTAGGTAGCAGCTCATCTCAAAATATACATTTGATAAAAAATGTGTGACTTAGTTAAAGAAAGAATTGTATATAGTAGAGGATTAGTGAGAAGCTCCTTCATGGTTCTACTGATCCCCGTCATTATATCTTAGGGAGGGGAGATATTGGAAACAGGAAGCTGGTACCTTGGTTAAGGAACTGCTGGATGGGGTTGGTGGCGGCATCTGAGGAACATGAGGACAGCCCTCAGTTGGGCATGTGCTGGTTGTTGAAGGTTCTGGAAGGTGACTCAGCTGTTGGAAGAGTTTCATCCTCTTGGACTCCTCAGTTTTAATGGTTATGTCTTTCCTTTTCTGAAGCAAAATAAAAAACTATATATATATTTTTCTTTTATGATTAATGATTTTCATTAGCAAATGAACCACAGCATTTCTCTCCCACTCTCTGTCTCTCTCTCTGTCTCTCTCTCTCTGTCTCTCACACACACCAACACCCACACCCCCATCCCACTCCACACACCTACACGCACCCACCCAGCCACACACACACACACACATGAGAGGATTGTCACTCTAATAACTTTCTCTGGAATAATAGCACATCTTCAGATACCCACAATACCTCCCCAGATTGGACCCCAATGAGGATTACAAACTTCGCTCTGCACATGTCAAAAACTCAGGAGTGAATTTTCACTGGTCTGTTATGGAATTCTGGCTTTCCTTCTGCTGCAAACAGCCCTATGTCAACTTCCTCAAGACAACACTTGGAGTTATTTATTGGTAGAAAATAATACCAGGCTGTAATGGAAGCAAGTCTCCAAACAATATTGCCTGCACTGAGGGACGTTTTATTAACTAAGTCTTTTACCACCTTGTGTATTTACCAAATAAGCAAATTGGTTTTTATCATCTGCTCTTCAGGCCCAGGAAATCAAGTCTCCACCTATTTGAATGCTTTATCACCATACTGGAGAAATTTCCTCACATTCATAATTCTAGAGGCAAGATTCTGCTCTCTATGTATTCTGCATCAGGTAACAAAATCCTTCAGGGTTCTCAACAGTAGACAGACCCATTAAGATTTCACCCAGGGCATTCCCAGTACCTGGATTTTTATAATTGTTTAAGCAAGGTCAGGAGTGTCTGTTAAATCATTTATCTTGACTAACTTTGATTTACTTAAGAAAGACCATTCCTAACGTTCTACATCCAATATAAATTTGCCACAGTTCTTACCTCTTCTAGCATTCATGTATCTAATTCATTAAGTGTCACTTGTTGAGAAAGCTGTGGATAAGGGAGTTGCTTGAAATACCTTCCTCTGGCATGCAGCTTCCTGATCAGGACACCCTCTGACCACCCCAGAACCCCATTCCTCATTAGAAGTCTTACAGAGCCTGGCCTATGGAAATGAATCTGAGACATAATACTGTGTAATTATAAATTTTTAAAAATAAATTACAGATACTGTAACATCTATACTCTGACTCTGGAATCAATATATGCCATTAAATGCTAAAGCTGTAGAGTTCAGTAAGGTTGGATTCCAATCCTGGCTTAACATTCACTATCTGTGAGATCTTGGAGAAGATTTTTAACATCTATGAACTTCAGTTTTCTCATATGTGTAATGGGACTAACAATAGCATTGGCATGTGGTATTATAAAGAATGAATGAGATCACATACACAAAGATCATAGGATTTAGAGTTCAGCACCACTAAATGCTCAATACATAGAAATATCAATATTGTTATTATTATTTCATGTTCAAGACAGGGGTTTGTATTTCTGCTCTGATCCGAAGATGTATAGGGGACCAGAGTTTGCTATCCTAATGTGTGTCTCTTTGACTTGATTATTTTCGAGAACAAAAGACTCAGGAAGAAACTCTGATTTTGCCCCAACTGCCTAGAAGAATTTATGATAGAAGGCCTGTTTCAGAAGGAGCTAATACAATAGATAGCTGCAATATAATATAAACTAGATGTGGTGGACAGAGAGGAACCTAGAAAGGCCCATTTGATCAACGTCTTCGCCCTGTCTCATTGCCTTTGCAAGGCATGACAAACATTTGTTTACCAAGTATTTGCTTCCATCTTCATGTGAATTGCCTTCCTCCCCTTTAAAGTCCCAAACTACCACCCCCAACATCCTCTTTTGTCTTTAGTTGAAGATGGTATTTAAGGTGGTGGCTTTGGCCATTTTGGTGAGTTACTCAGTTTTTCTGGGTTTCTCCCATGTATACATATTATTAAACTTGTTTGATTTTGTCCTGTTATTCTGTCTCATGTCAACTTCATTCTTAGACCAGCCAGAAGAACCTAGGAGGGTAGAGGAGTATTTCTTCTTCCCCTACAGATCTTTTGTGCATTATGTTGACCCTCTTAATGGAAACATTAGTTAGAGTTGATATGGAAAGCACTTTATTAGACAAGTTTCTCTATTCATTTCTGCCACGTAGTAATTTAATCTCATTGACAAGTGCATCTTGAGCAACTTTCAAAATCAGTTAAGCCAAAAGCTTCCATCATAAGAGTAGGATTTAGATGCCTATTGGTTGGATAATATTTAAAAATAGTAATTGATTTTTTCCCTTAGTTTATTTCCTTCACCACCCCACTCTGTCCTCGAATCATGCCATTCTGTGCTATTTGCTTTGTGGGAGACATAGCAGCAGGAATCAAAGATTATATTGGTCTGCTTCTGGTTTTGAATTCCAAAAGCAAACAGAGCCCATATTATAGAGAAAATAGCTGGGATACTCCCTGATGAATAAGAGCAAAGCTTTCCTGCCCATTTAATGAATCATAGAATGGCCAAGCATTCTTTCTACAGGACTCCTGTGGAGATGACTGAACCCCAAAGACAAAATGACTGTATGGTGTGTTTAGGTGTATGAGGCCAAGGATGTAGATGACCCTTCCTGAGATTCCTGTGCTTGAAGGAAATTTTAAAGAAGTGTAATAATTCCCGTGGGAATAGAAATGACTGTGTCGCATAGTTAGACAGAGGGGCCTTAGAAAATGTCACTTCCAAGCCTGTATGCATAGAAAAAATAGAGTTGTCTTGAGATATCCACATATGTCATTGTCATAGCAGAGAGACAGTGGGCCTGAGGTTTCAGTGACCGGACAATGGCCACATAGGCCTAGAGGCAAACAGTCAGAGATTGCTGGCTCCATCCCACAAATAAAAACCCGAGAGATTATAGAGGGTATTATGAATTACGAGGCTAAAAATAACAAAATAAAACTTGAGAACTCCTGCCTATAGGAAGTCTGTCTTCCACTGCTATGTGTGGGATGGTGTTGGGGGCTTCAGTCTGGATCAGAGGGCAGCTTGGGGCTTGAGTGACAAACTATGTTAGAGAATAGTGATTTAATTGCTGCTCTTGCCTATTCCTCAAGTTGCCTGCCTATTCATCGCAGAAATAGTTATTGTACCCCTGTAGGCAGGTAACCACAGGGCTCATATCAGGTGGAACAGAAGGCAGGCTAGGATAGCAGTTGATGCCTACATGTATGTACTCACTTTTCCACCTTGGTGTTGTCTTTCCCAAGGAAAAAGTACCTATAATCTGAGGTTGTTTTCTACTAAGGAAGAAAAACGTATCTTTATTACAGTTGTGATAATGCTAAATGGTAAAAATAAAGGGACCAGTGAAAGCAAACAGTGGGAATATCTGCTGTATTCTGGAAGGAGGGTAGTAATGAAGACTTGCCTGAGGAAAGGATTCAGGTTTGCAGCTGCAGATTGAAGACACTTGCAGCAGTGGTGAACCAGGACAAATGATTCCAAGCTAAAAAAGGAGCACGTGTCAAAACATCTGACATGGGAGGCAGCATGACATTTTGAAAATAAACCATGTAGTATGGCCAGTGAGCAAAGGGGAAGAGGGTGGAAGGAAACTGGAATGTAGGGGATGAACACACTCCCATTCATCTCTACTTGTCTGGTCACTTCCCCCCACTCTCCCTACTCTACCCAAGAAAGTAATCTTCTGACTATTGGAGATTATCTCATAAACATATACCTCATAACTAGCAGCAGAGTTAGAATCCAGTAGGATCTCAAAACCTACGCTGACAAATGAATGAGTGATTATATTAAATGATTAAACTGTATATTGTGGGAGATTCAACGGGAAGCTCTTCCAAGATTATGGTGATCCTATACTTAGGTTGTATGGAGGTACAAGGAAGGCAGATAGGTACCTTGGTTTTGGAACTGATCGATGGGGCTGGTGGAGGCATCTGAGGACCTCGGGGACAGCTGTCAGTTGGGCATGAACTTGTTGCTGAAGTTTCTAGAAGCTGAGTCTGTTCTGGGTATAGCATTTCCTTTTTCAAGTTAGTAGTTTTTGTGGTTACAGCATTCCTTTTCTAGAGAAATAGATTTTTTTCCTTATTTCTGGATAATAATTTTCAAAATCACACAGAACACAATGTCTTATTCTTTCCTTTTTATATTGGATCTCAACTTTTCAATTTTCTCTGGGATGATAGCACATATTCAGATACCTGTACTACCTACTCTCTTCCTCCTCAACCAGGATTATAGATTTTACTCTGCAAATATTAAAAGCTCAGATGAAATTTCATTGGTCTGGGATGGAATCCAGATTCGACATCTGCTGTACCTGGCCTACTTGGTCATGCACAACTCTTAGGGTTATCTTATGGTAGATAACCTTCACAGGTTATAAGGGAAGCAAATCCCAGCACAACGTTGGCTGCTTATTATGGATGGTTATTAACTATCACTTTCCCTTCCACAAATACACTGATATATGCTCTTCAGGCTCCTAGAAACCCATCTCTCTGATCTTTTGGGAGAGATTATTGGTAGAAATACAGATTCTTGGAACTAATAACAGCAACAAGAAAGCAAAAATGAAAATTGAGAGTCCCTTTATACAGGAAGTCTGTCTTCAAGTGGTATCTCTGGGATGGTGGTAGGGATCTAGCCTGAGTGAGGAGGTAGCTTGGATCTTGGGTAAGAAACTATATTACAGAATAGCGATTTAAATTCCGCTCTTGCCTACCCTTTATGCTGTCTTGGGGCAATCTTTCCTTGGCCATTCACCTCAGATACAGGCTTCATTGTCCCGTGTTGCATGTAGCCACAGGATGAAACAAAAGGCCGGTTGGGATAGGAGTTGATGCATACCGATATGTACTCACTTTCCCACCCCTGTCTTGACTTCCCCTGGGAAAAGGTACCTATAATCTGAGCTTATTGTCTAGCAGAGAAGAAAGATGTAGATTTATTACAGTTGTGATAACTGCTATAAAAGAGTAGTAAAGTGTCCTGTGAAGGAAAAAAATGAAATATCTGGTCCTTTTTTTGGAGCGAGACTATCACTGAGGACTTCCCTGAGGAAGGGATTCAGGCCAGCACCTGAAGGTTGAATATAATTAGGCCAGTGAAGAGATAGGAATAATGAATTCCAAATAAGGAAATAGCATGTGCCAAGACACTTGATTTGGGAAGGAGCATAGAATGCTGATAATTAATCCAGAAGTATGGGTAAGTAGAAAGTGGAAAGAAAACTAGAATGTAGGGGATAAATATACTCTATGATTCATCTATAATTGTCTGATCACCACTCATCCCCTATTTCTGGACCAACACAAGATAGTAACCCTCTTGAGATCAAGAATTATTTCATAAATGCATACCTTGCGGAGGTAAAGGGCTTACAATACATTGTGATCTCAATATCGATATTGATAAATTAAGGAGTGATTTTACTATATAAAGAAATTGTATATAGTAGGGGATTATTGAGAAGCTCTTTCAAGGTCATGATGATCTCTGTTATATGTTGTAAGGAGGCACAAATTTGGGAACAGAAGATGGTACCTTGGTTGAGGAAATGCTGGGTGGGGTTGGTGGAGGCATCTGAGAAGTCTGGGGATGGCTCTCAGTTGACAGTGTGCTTGTTCTTGAAGGTTCTGGAAGCTGACTCTGTTCCTGGGTTAGCTGCATCTTAGATTCTTCAGTTTTTATGCTTTTGTTTTTCTTTTTCTGAAAGTAGTTGTTTTTTCCTGATCAATAGTTTTCAATATTAGCTGAAACTTATCTTTACCGCTGAACACACCAACTTTTTATTACTAGGTTCTAATATACTAAAATTTATGTCTTTGAGAACTTCAGGGAGCTTCATACAGTGCATCTTCTGGAGAGATGGCCAGAAGGTAAGCAGTGCAAATTTATGATTGCTTCATACAAGTAGTGGGGAAAATTTTATACATGTTGTTCCTTTACTCACCTCTGTGGTGATGGCAGGAGCAGGGAACTTGGATTTAGAAAATAAACATTTAAAGTTAGCCTCTTTGAGTAGCCTTTGGCAAGCTCTTCCGCTAATCTGATTGCCATTTTAGTTCATATCTCAAAGAGAGGTAACTATTTCATATTCCCATCATAGGGAATCATATTACACAAATTAAATTGCACAGTAGTTCTGAAACTTAATGGGTGATCAGTATCTATTGATTTGCTGACTCTGAACTTCATTTTCACTCTGCCCCTAGAATCCCTTTTCATCTGATTCTTCTATTTGCATGCTGAGAAATGACTAAAAACTAAATGTTCATAGGAAGGTAATAAATGGAAGAGTCATAGAAGAAGCTTCTTCAGTGGAATCTTAGCCATCCTACCTTCAACACAGGTGTATCGTTGATTGATTCAGGTTCCAAAGTTTTATTTGGGGTGGATGTAGACTTCTCAGTACTGGATTTATCCTGCTTGATTTTTTTCACTATAGTTATTCCTTTTGTTTTGCATCCCTTTGCAACTAATGCAGTAAAAGAGAAAATGATAAATCCAAAGAAACTGGTCTAACACAGCTCAAGCCCTTTCAATACTATTTCTTCTCAGCTCCTGCTTGTGGGTCTAGGTATGTTTGTGTCTGCCTCTACTGCATTAGCCAGGTGGGCAACAAGTGGCCAGCAGAAGCAACACAGGCACAAAGCACGGTCTCATGCTTCCTCAGTGATTTCCTTTCTCATCCCACGTGCAATGAGCACAAACTTCCTGTGCTCTGGACTCCTACGCACCTCAGTCAAACCCTTTTCCAACCACTTATCCTATGCTTTCCCTTTTAAAATCTAAAGTTTGCATGCTGCTGGTGCTCAGTCATCTTCTGTTAAAGATCTGTTTGAATTACTGAAACCAGACAAAGTAAAAATGATCTGATTAGTGTTGTGACAAATAGATGATACTGAACTTGGACTTTTTAAAATACGTTTTTATAATCCAGTGATTTTATAAGAGACAATTTCTTTAGATCTCTGAGGTTATTATTTAAGTACTGCCTCATATTTGTTAGTAGAGAATATAATAATGGTGTAGTAAATATTGTAACAGAGCATGCATATTAATTGATATAAATATCTTCAAAACTCACATATTTTAAATTTTGGCATTTTCTAACTTTTCTAATGTACTGAAAGCCTCAGCCTTTCTTATAAACTCTTTCTGCTTTTTTTCTTTACCTTCATCTCTAAAATATACCCTCTAAAATACATCAGACCTGTTTGTAGGAAAGGGGACGCCCTAAGTTGTCCACTTGGCCTCTGCAGTACTAACATTGTCATGGCTACTGAGTCTTAAATTGGGAAAGGGATGTGTCAACTATGACAAGTCAGGGTTTTCTAGTCAAGGTTGAGGATGGTTCAGAGACAGTGAGAGTGAGGAGTTCTAACTCATTACCTTTTAACTTTTCATTTTTAAGAGTTTTAGCAAGTTCCTTAAGTTCTGCTATGTCTTTGTAAAGTTTTATTAGAGCATCAACACAGGCGGCTCCTCGGAACTTTACTTCCATCAAATCAGCAATCTGAATTCTATTATATTCATTTTGAGCTTTTCTACTTAGTTTTAAATCATGGGCCAATAAAGACTTAACAATGCTAAAATGATATTCACTGATGGGCTCTAATCCTTTCAGCAGAACAATTCTTTTGTATTCACTCTCCATCTCTGAAGTTATGGATAACCTATGAGAGAAAAATAACACACAGTGTTACACATTTATACAGACAATTTAAAAGACTATCAATGTCTATGTGAGGGAGTGGTCCATACGAAATTGTTGTCCATGGGTGTGTGTGACAAAGAGGGACTTAATTACCAGATATCATCGTGGAAAAGGGTTGAGAACTCCTAAATGAGGACTTCTAAGAAATTCTTCTCTTTTAATGATCATAGTTGAGTTGGGTTGGGGGTGGTGTGGTAGAATAAGGTCTGGAAGTAGGCAATTGTTACAGTGTGCAGATTATGGACTGTGTAGAGTCAAAGTCCCTGGTCCCTCCTCCCATTCTTTTTGAGGCTACAGTCTATCCCTGAATGTCTGCCTGTTGGTTCCTGACACCTTCCACACCCAGGATGCCTGAAGTGACCTGTGTGCAAAATGGGCTGCAGCCTCTCACCTTATGTGAATATCCGTCTGCCACAGCACTATAGTTCTATGCTGGGCACCTTCCCTAGTCCACTTGGTGCTTCCCTAGTCAGCTCTAATTAGCGTCATCTCTCTCTGGGGCTTGAACAATGTTCTCTGTGTCCTAAGTGTCCACACCACTGTCCCTTTCTTGGACTTCTACCTGCTCCCTAATGCAGGATCATAGTGTTTATTGACTGGAAAATTTCTATAATTGCTTGATTTTCTCCCTCCAGGCTTAATTTTTTTTTAATCAATTCTTTTCATAGAGCCAGATATCTCTCTATAGGGCCACAATTCTATCTCACTTAAAATCCTTCAATAATTCCCCATTTTCCTTTTGAAAAATGTCTGGCTCCTTAGCCTGGCTTGGGAGGCCTTGAGTAACCTGGCACCTTTTTTACTTCTGCTACTTTTGTATTTCTTATCTCTTATGCCCAAGAAATATACAGCACACCTGCCTTTTCATGTTTCATGACTTCGCTAATTCCCTTCTTGCTGCCTAGAAAGCCCTTCCCAGCTTTCTTCCTCTGACTACCTCCTTTCAGCCTTCAATGCTCAGCTGAGGCTTTGTCTTCTGAAAGCTCAGTCCCCATTTTGGACTGAGTCTCACTCCTCTGGGCCTCTTAGCACTTTCCACACTTCCTTCATGGCACTCAGTGCATATTATGGGTCCAAATTTTCTGTTTAAATTCATGAATTCTTTTAGTTTAGGGACCATGAGTTTGATTACTTTTCGTATAATTGGGATGTTCAAATTCCTGGGGCTGTGAATTGTTCCTTCTTGAGAGAACGTGAGTGTCCTAAGGTTGGTCAGGCCCATACAGTGAAGGATGAATCCACACAAGGACACATTATACTGAGACTGAAGAATATTAAATACGAAGTGAAAACTCTGAAAGCTTCCAGAAATAAAGAGCAGATCACTTATAAAGATTCAAGGATCAAATTGAAACTAATTCTCAACAGCAAAACTGCCTAAGCAGGACAAAAGATTTTTATAAAATAAAACAATTGTAATATATATAAAAAACAATTTTTATATAGTACTACTCCAAAATTCCACATCTATTTCAAAATTTTTTAAATAAAATTTTTGTGATTTTTTTTGTATGGCTACACAATTTACTCGCTAAATAAAACCAGGTGTGAGGTGACAAGGAGCTATGCATAATCTTTATTCATTCCACTTAAATGTGAACATTCATATGTTTTGTTGCTGAAATAATAGTACATTTGATTTTAGAGTAATGATCCAGATCTTACCAAGGCTTCTAGTAATATAGTATTTTAAGTAGGCATATTAAATAGCCTCTCTGAAGCCCCCAGATTCTGAATTTCCAAACATATCTAACTGACGGGGTATCAGAAGAGGTACTGTCAATGTATGTTGAAGGAAAAAAATAATTTTGAAAATAGAATTTTTATCCTAGCCAAAATGCTATTTAAATATGAGGGCCTCAAAAAACATTCTCTGATATTCAAGGCCTCGGTAGTTCTACAAGACAAACACCCACACAGAAACACCTATTGGAAGTAATATTTAACAAGAAAATAACACAAAGTCAAGAAATACTGCAAGCCAAAGGTAAGAGTGAAAACCTAACTTGATTAGGTGAGCATATGTCTTAAAAACAAATAAAGCCCTGATGGAAGAGAAGAGAACCAGGAAGTACATCAACATGGTGGAGGGAGGGAGGAAAAGGAAGCTGATAGTTTATGAATGTGTTTGTCTTAAAGGGTAAGATAGAGATATAAGTAAAAATAAATACAGGAAAGAATATAGAAGTGTCATAAATTGAAATGAAGATCGCAGAAACAAGACAAAACACATTAATCTTCAGCATATACCTAAAAGACCTAATCAGTCAAGCAACAAATTTAGCCAAATTGGATTTAAGAAATCTGCCAATATATTGTTAACAAAAGATCACTTAAAGGTGGAAATACAGAAGAAAAATATTTTATCATGCAAAGAGTAGGTAAAAGGAAACCATTTTATTTATATTAGGGCAGCTTTAAGCAGACATGACGACAAAAAGTATAGAGCACAACACAATAGGTTTAACTCTTAGGGACATAAAACCATTTCAAATGTGTATTTACCTACTAATAGTAAATATATATTATTTTTATTACTTGATAGTCCTTCATGATGCTATAAATTTTATAGCATAACTTATATCTTATAATACAAAATTATACTTGTAGCAGTATGTAGTATATTTCTCTTCATACACACAGGTATATATATATCTATGCAACTATATATAAACACATATATAAAATAGAAATTATGTATGTGTGTATATAGATAAGTATATGGGCATATTATTAACTGATAATTAACATGTTTTGTCTTGTTTCTGCTATCTTCATTTCAATTTATGACACTGCTATAGTCTCCTTATATATATATAAATTTGAGCTACAAGGAAAACCCCACATTTATGGTAGGAGATTTCAGTATATCTCTCAATTACTAAATGAACAAGGTAAAAAAAAAATCAGGAAAGATTTAGGAAATTTAACCAACACAATTAATAAGCTTAATGCACAAGGTTTATCTAACATACATTAAACATTTCATGTTCTAGTCAAGCACATATGAAATATGATTGTACCAGGCCACACAGAAAGTGTTTAAACAATTCCAAAAGTAGGTACAACAGAAATTTATTTGTAATTGACGCTCCCTTCCTCTCCCTTACACCTTGCCACCAGAAAAAAAAAATCAGTAATTTTCAGGAAGGCAGAAAATAATCCTAAAAGAAACTTAAATAACAACTCTGACAGCTGGTATAGAATGGAGTATAAAATAAAAATTAAACTATCTTAGAGAGAGGAAAAGAAGCCATGTTTTTGTTTAACTCTGTTTGTGGAACTGAAATTTTTTCTGCTCTGTATAGTGTGTGTATAAAATTAAGATAACACCATACAATACAAGTTTATATCCAGATGTATTTTTTACTTAATAGTATTTTTCTGATATTTTTGTCATGCCCTTATCTTAAATTTTACCCAGGTTCCCACCACAGCCACCAAGTTTCCTGTGTACCTTCCAGGGGTAAAAACATAAACCCTTTCTCTAAATATAACTCATGCCAATAGACGCCTGGGGAATACATTTTAACATCTTCTATAGTCAAAATGCACATCCCTCAGTTGTGGTGGAATAAAAATGTCTATTACTTGCCTAGTTAGTAAAATTAGAATCAAGCTACTGCTGTTTTCACTTTTCTAAAGATAGTTGAAACCAGCCCTTGACCCCCAAATTCTGTATAACTTAAGCTCACTTTGTCATTTTTGGTTACCAGCCAGGTACCCATAGCTCTCTACAGAAATCCCCACAGGTCTCACCTCACTGGGAGTTTCTTCCAGAGTAGTCCAGATCTTGAGGTCTTCTTCAGAGATACAGAAATCACTTCTTATTTTGTTTGAGTAGGAAGATAAATCAGTAAACTCTCAGAGACTGAACTGTAGGTTGTTATAATCTCCTGAAGGGCAGAAGAAAAAGAAGTATTTTGAAAGGTAACAGGAAAAAATGGCAGTGGTTAGAGTCACCTGAAAACTTGACTAGTGCTGGCTACCTCATACTTTGCTATCCCTGAGAGACAAAAGGTTTAAAAGAATTTTGAGACTCCTCCCACCAATATTCTTAGCTTTCGATTTCATTAGTCAGAGAAAACGACCAGTTTCCTTCCTGTAAACATTGTTGGGGCCCAAGACAAGCCACCTCCAAATATCCCACAATAACATTTTGATTATTTTGAATTAAAGTTACTTGAGAAGCAAAAAGGACATTCTGACCCTCCTGTCTCTGTCTTCCCTGAAAGCAGGAAATAAATCTTGCCTGTGAAAGGTACTCTTCCTGCATCTGTATCACTAGAGCTGGGGAAGTCAGGGCTGAGAAGCCTGCAGAAACGAACCTTGCAAATGTACTACCTCAAGCCTAAACTCTGCCCAAATTTCTCACTATACATACGTTTCTTCCTCCTCTCATTTTCTTCACAAATTTATTGTTTCTTGTCTAAAAGATCTATACTGCCTGCTTTGTTTACTCTCCAATCATCATTTCTCTATGATCTCCAATATGTATGTATTAAAGTGGTTTTTTCCTCCTGTTAATCTGGTCTCATGTCAATTTTATTATAAGAACACAAGAAAGGTGGAAAGGGGATTTTCCCCTGTCCTGACAATATCTTAATCAAAATGAAAAATTATAGCAAAGTTATACTTAAATTTTTGTTGTTGTTGTTAGAAGAAAGGAGTTCTGGGGCCGGCCTGGTGGCACAGTGGTTAAGTGCACACGTTCCGCTTTGGCAGCCCAGGGTTCGCCCATTTGGATCCCAAGTGCGGACATGGCACCGCTTGGCACACCATGCTTTAGTAGGTGTCCCACATGTAAAGTATAGGAAGATGGGCATGGATGTTATCTCAGGGCCAGTCTTCCTCAGCAAAAAGAGGAGGATTGACATCTGTTAGCTCAGGGCTAATCTTCCTCAAAAAAAAAAAAAAAAGAAGAAAGGAGTTCCAACATTAGAACTTTCTTATCCAGTA